TATGTTTTCTCGTTCCCCCCCCCCCCCCCCCTAGATTGAGGAGAAAATTATTGGGAAATGTCGCCTAACTTTATGGATTTCTGATTCTTTTTTCTGGCATAGGCATAGGCTTCAGGAGAAAACTTGTATCCTTGATTGTTAACATCAACGTGGGTTTCATACGAAAACTTTAAAACATCTATTTTGCATAAGTCATAAAAGTACAAATCTTGCATGTCTGAAAAACTTATACTTTTTTCTATTATTTGTGTTCATTACATGTTAAGGATTATTAGATTCATTTATCACATTTGATAATTTCAAAGTAGAATTAGCAGTTCAATGAACTAGAACATCGCTTATTAGAAATATGTTGACACTTTCCTCGTGGGAACAATATGCAGATTCTTTGACCTCATAGTACTTGGCACGTATGCTTGTGTGATTGACCGAGTTATTTCTCGATAAGTTTTCGGTCATCAACAACATATGATTCCTCTTTCTGTGTTTTCATGTTGCCAACTGGCTCCACAATATAGTGGTTACAATCAGGGCTTTTTGACTCGGTGTTTGCCACCAAATTACACCACTATATTAAAGTCACGATTGTAGCTCGTATGCTTCCCAGTGGTTTTCTATCCCTTGAAAAGTGAATCATAAGGGTAAAATTGATTGGAATAAAGTTTTTTATTAGCAAAGGTCGACTTAAATTTGTCCCCTTAGATAAACATCCATCTCTGATCTACAAAGACCACTTCAAATATGCAACTCATGGTTGCTGACAATGACCTTTCGGCTAGGTTGGGTCAACTACCTCCTCAAACTAAGTAGATCAGGGACCACGACGACTCGGGATGACAAAACCATGAGATTTTGATCGGGTTTTGCATTCATTTCCCCAATATTTTTTTAAAGCTTCAAGTGATCGATTGTATTATTTAAATAATTATATGTATGTTATTGTTATATGTTGAATGTTCAATTACTAGTGAGTTTTTTTAAGCCAAAGTGCTCTCGTGTTATCGGGGGAGGTAATTAACCATATGGGCTTGTGTATATGGGAAACCATGACTTCCATATCAAAAAGTCCTTGCAAAATAATGACAGAATCTTTGGGTAGTGTCTTATCTACAATCCAAGTTGCATTATGAAAAATTTTACCCTCCAAGCTCACCCAACAAAAAAAAAAAAAAAATCAGAGTCTCAGGCAGGCGTTTGAATTGTTAGAGCCCGCAAATTAACCGGTTTTACGAGACAAACACATTACAAAAAAATTGGTTTGATCTGAGCCTTGGATCAAGTCTTTAAACCATTTGTGAAAACTTTGAGTGGTCAATTAGAGGGTCATATGGATTCCAAATTTGAAAGCTTATATCAATACAAACATCTCGATGAGATAAATTCAGTGAGCTAGCTCAATATCTCTCAATTCTAACATCATTAAGGCAATTAAATGTTAATAAAATTCCATCCAATAAAAAAATCATTTTGGGTCGTTCGATGGAGTGGTTTAAATTATTGTATAATGTAAAAGGAATGCCTTCATGGAGGATTGAAGACCAAGTGCTAAGCTGAAGCAAGATCAACAAGAGGAACTTATTTTCAGCGTTGTATTGTATTGAAGACCCAATGATTCATTGTTGACATCAACCGACCAACATCAACTACCTCATGCTCGTGGCCATTGAAATACATTGCGGAGTAACGACATACATTGCAACAAATTCTTATACGAAGCAACATCATGCATTGCATAGTATTTAAGCACTATGCAAATTAATGACATATGTTACAGAGGAACGAAGTACCAGACAAAGCCACTGTGCAAGGACGTGCCTTGAAGATAATGTATTGAAATTCCAATGATAACCCTCAACAACAATCGCTCCCAAACATATATAGCGAACTCTTCAATGTGCGAACAATTTACTTGAAAGGATTTTGTGATCCTTTATAGTAAGTGGGACAAGGGTCTATATCTGTACTAGCAAACTTATATTGGATCATTCAGACTAGGCTAAGCACTTTAATTTTTCTTCACTTTTGGTTTTCCAAGTAAAATCTTTTTGTACCTTAACCTGTTATTTTTATTATCAATGCTGGTGTTGGATTTTTGTAAAGTGCTAAGGCGTCAAATAACCTCTTTATGAATCTTCCTAAACATAAAAATTATTAAATACATATAAAAAAACATGAGAAAATAAACTTTAGACGAAAGTACATGTGAAATTTAAGAAGTCCACACCTAAATAAGAAAATATTGCATACTTTGTAAGTATGTACTTAGAAGGGTGGAGTAGCCACGTTGTCATAATTTCTCTTATATGTGACAAGACCACTCCATCCACCATTGCAAGAACATACTTTGTAAGCATGCAATATTTTCTCCAACTAATGAATTTCAATCAAATGTCGATAATTACTGAATAGATTTATAGAAATTTAATATAAATTAACAAAGTGAAACTATAGTATCGTTTGATCCAACCATGTCATTGAAAAAATCAAGGTCCGGTAGACGTAATGGATGTTTGAATAAGTACATCATCGTAGCATAAGTTAGAACATCAAAACGAAGGAACACGATTCAGAACACCAGAACAGAGGGACCTCCTCGTGATCTAAAAAACGACAATTTTCACCTTTCTGGTAGGCACACTTCTTCCGAGGTTCGTCGGCCAAACAAGCTCCCGACGTCCTCCACGACATAAAGGAGGTTAGCGGGGGTCAACTGCAAGAATTTACCCAATCTTAGGAGAGAGGGAGGGAACACTTCTTATGAATCTTCCTAAACATAAAAATTATTAAATACATATAAAAAAACATGAGAAAATAAACTTTAGACGAAAGTACATGTGAAATTTAAGAAGTCCACACCTAAATAAGAAAATATTGCATACTTTGTAAGTATGTACTTAGAAGGGTGGAGTAGCCACGTTGTCATAATTTCTCTTATATGTGACAAGACCACTCCATCCACCATTGCAAGAACATACTTTGTAAGCATGCAATATTTTCTCCAACTAATGAATTTCAATCAAATGTCGATAATTACTGAATAGATTTATAGAAATTTAATATAAATTAACAAAGTGAAACTATAGTATCGTTTGATCCAACCATGTCATTGAAAAAATCAAGGTCCGGTAGACGTAATGGATGTTTGAATAAGTACATCATCGTAGCATAAGTTAGAACATCAAAACGAAGGAACACGATTCAGAACACCAGAACAGAGGGACCTCCTCGTGATCTAAAAAACGACAATTTTCACCTTTCTGGTAGGCACACTTCTTCCGAGGTTCGTCGGCCAAACAAGCTCCCGACGTCCTCCACGACATAAAGGAGGTTAGCGGGGGTCAACTGCAAGAATTTACCCAATCTTAGGAGAGAGGGAGGGAACACTTCATAATATTTTTTTTTTTTTTTTTTCTTTAAGGCGAGCACTCGACGTTGACATTATTCATTTTATTTCTAACGTATAGATTCGAGATTCAATGTACCAACTAACCCATAAATTCATCATTGAAGCTTAAGCCAAAACCAATTTTACTGTTTTTGAATAACCGAATGTTCACACATCAATAGACTGTCATTCTACCACAGCTTCAAACAATAATTAAATGGAGGGCATTTACATGCATATCAGCACAACTCCCATGCACATATATACATATCTAATACCTACAATTGTATATTTTTTACATTTATAACATTCAAATATTTCACATCACATACCACAAATACCGTCTTTTAAAAGCCAAACACAGCTTCGGATATATAAAAACCAGCAGAGATGATTTTATTAATGCTCAGCGTAGCATTCGAGTATAAAAAATGACATCAGATGATGAGAAATGAGACATTATTTCGCCTATCAGAAATGTTTGGAAAACCGAAACAAGCAAAGAGAATGGAAGCTTTTGAATTATCGGCAGAACAAATTGTCAGATATCTTTTATTTCATTCACAGAAAAACAACTAAAATTAAAAGAAGAAATTTACGGCTTATCCCTTAGCCTTAAAACTGGCTCCGGTCATCACGTCTCAGAACCTTCATGAATTCCTGCAACAGCATTTCAGTCAGTAGTGATGAGCAGCAGGAGATCCAATGCATTGGATGGTTCGCAAACAGAGATGCTATAAAACAATTCATTAAAGATTAAAGGAAGGTTTACATGCATGTCACTCAAATTTAATGTATTTACATATCTAAGACCTAAAGTTTAATGTAAAATGTACACTGCAAACTTTAATGTATTTACATATATCTGGAGCTGCT